CATAATGACCTTCTTTGTTCAGTATCTGATCATCCAGAGATGAGGGAGAAATTCAAAAGAGTTTGTAATTGTATCCACTTCAGTGAGGAGCACAGCTCCACTTTAGACCTCTCCAGTCAGCACAGGAAGGTCTAGTAGTCAGGGGGAGTGCTATCATTATGCTGGCTCTGCAGCTACCTAATGTGCAGACCTTAGAGGGGCATAGTACTAATGTTCAAGGGGCATAGTTAATGCTGGTCCTAGCTAAAACATTTTATTGTTGTATTTGAAAAAGATATTCAGAGATTGCTGTATTGATTATTCTTGCAATTTAAAATATATTTAGCAGTTTCAATTTTTGTGCTTTTCATTTCTTCTACAAAACATACATTTTTGAAACCTGAAGTTAGCACTTTGGAGGAGGGGGAGGAAACAGTGTAAGTAGCTAGCCTTGCCCACGATGGAAAATAGTCTAGCATTGCTAGTATTCAGTGGAATCACTAAGGTTGGTGTCACCTGGTGTGGTAACTCATGGTGTCACCCCCACATTGACCTCCTCCCAAACCATACCCATACAGAATCCTTAGTGGGTTTTTTTTTTTTGTACTAATTTACTCATAAATCATAATCCCCATATATCACTTAATGTAATGGTAATAGCTATGACATAAACAACTAGCAAAATTAAAATTATACCTTTAAAATTACAATACAACTGGGTGACCTTGGGCAACTCACATTCTCACAGCCTTAGAGGAAGGCAAGGGTAAACACTCTCTGAACAAGCTTTGCCAAGAAAACCCAATTATAGGGTTGCCTTAGGGTCACCATAATTCAGAAATGACTTGAAGGCACACAACAGTAATAATATATCAATTTTGAGATGTGATAATCAGAGGCCCTTTCTCACTGCATAACTGTACTGCTATGACTTAATTGCCAAGATTGCCTCTTATAGATTTGCAATTTAGAGAGTTGGGGGGTATTTAGAATTCTTGCCAGAGAGCCACAGGCCTCATGAAACTACAAACCCAGGAATCCATAGCTTTTGCCATGGCAGTTCAAGTACAATCATAGTGTTATAATTGTATTGTGTGAAAAGGCCATAGAAATATGTTTAATACAGGAGGGAGAGATATTTATGTATTGTTTACAATGAACACTGTTGCACAAGAAGAGAATTGCAACTTAGATGTGAGATATTAGTAAAATGTTTTGGTATTTTGGAATTTTTATAGGGAAATTAAAAGTCAGAAGCCAACACTTTGTGCAACGTAATGAAAGCAGACATTGTAAAGAAAAGCTTTTAGCAGGAATGTCTTCTGAGTTTCCTGGAGGGCAGGTAAAAAGAGTCAATAATAAATGTAAGACTTGATGGGTTGTGAATGGTTGAGCATCTGAAACAGAATTATATGTTTCTCCAGGGCACAAGGATAAACAAATTCCACTAAAAGTCATGTTACTGTAACTACTGCAATTGAGAATGAAATAAGTATGAACAGGTCAAGAGTACCATTGCATTTTCACCACATGTGCTCATAGGCCTACAGGTAGTGCAAGATGAGGGTAGCACTGCACACAAGCCTGTTTGTTATAGAAAATAAACAATGGCTGGCATTCTGTTGGTGAAGTATAATGGTATAAAAGACTTACACCATCACAACTCACTGTTGTGGGAGCAGTGGACAAGCATCCCACTATTTTTTTTTACAACTGGGTGCAAAGCAATGGCATTGTTCGCAGGGACATCAGATTCCTATGGATGCCTGTCACTGTGTGGCGAGCCATAGAAAAAATAGCTGAACACTTATCTTCTCCTCCCATCCTTCAGGAAATGGCCCAAGTTCTGGAGGCTGCAGCTAAGAAAATATGCATGGGAGGGTTGGATGGTAGCCTATCATGCTACATCTCATAACTACATTACCTGGTTCAGGCTCACAGTCAATCTGTTCCTTAAAATCTTTAAGCAAGCAGCTCATACTAGTCTGTATCTGAAGTGGTGACTCCATTCCATTTTGTTGATAATTTTTATGAAAATGGCATATGTTATAGAAGTGTCCTTAAGAAAGAATCTTGCAACATTTCAGAAGGATGGGTGCAGCTGCTAAAAATTTCAACTGCTTCCAAATTAGAGAAAATGTAGGAGGACAGGGATGACTAAGGGATGTGGACATTTTATTGGTTGAGAGAACAACTTAGCTATCCAGCACTTTCCAAACAGACACTAGTACCTAGATTCCAAGTCCCATGGCCTCCAAAACAGTTTTGATATTCATGCTCTATGCAAAGAGAATTGGCAAAGAACACTGAACATTTTATTAGTACTATTACTTCAATATTCCCTCCCACAGAGTGCACTGGGATTAGAGAATTGGTAAAGCCAGTCACTGTGATTAGAAAGCAGATCTATCAGCTATAAAATGATAACTCTACCCCTGTATCATCTTTTTCAATTCTATCCCCTCCCTCCTTATATGAAGAAATACATCAGTGTTGGGAGATGTGTTGTCTTTGTTTCTTCAGAATATGCCTGTTTCAATTTGACATATTTCAATTTGAAGATGTCCCCTAATTAGCCATTTGGCTATAGCAATAGCAATAGCAAGTACATTTTTATACCACTTATCAGTGAACTAACACTCCCTAAGTGATTTATAATGTGTAAGCCAATTGCCTCCAACAAGCTGGGTACTCATTTTAGTGACCTACGAAAGGATGGAGGGCTGAATGGACCCTAGAGCATTACCTGGGATTGAACTCACAACCTAGAGGATGTGAGTAGCTGCAGTACCAGCATTTAGTCACTGCACCACCAGCTATCTATCTATCTATCTATGGTCCAAAACACACTGCAGAAGTAATCCAGTTTGAGGCCATTTTAACTGCCCTGGTTCAGTGCTAGGAAATCCTGGGAATTATGGTACCAGAGCTCTCTGTCAGAGAAGATTAAATGTCTCACAAAACAACAGTTCCAAGGATCCCCTAAGCATTGAGCCAGGGCAGGTAAAATGAATGCAAACTGGATTGTTTCTGCGGTGTGTTTTGGACCTATTTGATCTATCTTTCCTATATTCTGTGATCTAAATCATGCATCTCTTTTTCTGGGTAAACATTATGCTATTGTTTAACATATATATAGGTTCTGTGTATATGAATACTTTTATTCCCCTACATTTATTTCAACATTTGTTTCAGATTAACTGAAATACCTGATGCAGCCCAAATCTATAATTTAAGATGCATCTGCGCTGTAGAAATAATGCCATTTGACACAGCTTTAACTGTCACGGCTCATTGCTATTGAATCCTGGGAATTGTAATTTGTTGTCACACCAGAGCTCTTTCATGGAGAGTGCTAACTATCTCACAAAACTACAGATCTAAAAATTCCATAGCACTAAGCCATGGAAGTTAAAGTGGTGTCAAACTGCGTTATATCTGCAGTGCAGATGCAGCCTAATATTCCAAAAGAGGTTGGGAGGGTCATTTTTTCTGTTTTCTCTATTTAAAAATCAGGAATCTTACCAACAGTACCTCAGAGAACTCTTTCCTATTTCTCTAACCCTTTCTCTCTAATTCCAGTAACCTCAGTGAAAGTACTGGGGCCTTTTCCTGATTTCATGCATTTTTTTCTTGCAACAGGAATTTAGTAGCATTGAATCAATGGCTCCTCTCCTGTTTTCTAATGCTTTAAAAAATCCTGGTGAGTCATGGCTGACCTTCCTTTTGGTTTCTAGTGAGCACCCTCTTTACAATTTCAGTTTGAAACTCAGCTCTGCAACAGCAACAAACAAAATTACTCTTTCAGATTTCATTTTGTGTATATATATATATATATATATATATATATATATATATATATATATATATATATATCCAAAAGTCATATGCATTATGAGTCTGCACCCTTTATGCTTCAACATATGGAAGGCTGCAGGGCACCCTTTGTTATATCTTTCAGATATAGAACTGCTTTCACTCTGTTGGTTAGTGATGTTCCTATCCTTTCCATGTGAGAACACAAGCTTTTACAAATGGGGTATGCTGTTAATTGCCTTTGAGTTATCCCTGACCCATGGCAACCCTATGGATTAAGCATCTCCAAGACTCCCTGTCATCCACTGTTCTGCTTATGTCCTATAACTTCATACCTGCATCCTCCCTAATTGAGGACGTCCACCAGCATGTGGTCTATCAATCTTTCTACTCCCTTCTACCTTTCCTAGCTTTATTGTCTTTTCTAATGAGTCATGACTTCTCATGATGTGGTCAAAGTACGATAGTCTTGCTTTGATCATCTGGGCTTCCAGGCAGATTTCAGGCTTGATCTGTTCAAGGACCCATTTGTTTGTCTTTTTGGCTGTCCATGGTATGCTCAGCATTCTTCTCCAGCATCACATCTCATATGAATTTATTTTCTTCTTATCCACTTTCTTCTCTGTCTGGCTTTCACATCCATACATGGTGATTGGGAATATTATGGCTTGGATTATTCTAACTGTAGTGCTTAATTGTATATCTTCACTCTTTAGGATCTTTTCTACTTCTTTCATAGCTGCCATTCCCATTCCTAGTCTTCTTCTGATTTTTTTAAATTGCAATCTCCTTCCTAATCACTGCTTGATCCAAAGCACAGGAACATTTTTACTATTTTGATTGCCTCGTTGTCTAGGTTGAAGTTATGTAGATCCTCCAGTATCATTATTTTTGTTTTCTTTATGTTCAGTGTTAAGCCTGCCTTTGCACTTTCTTCTTTGATATTTCTTAATAATTGTTCCATGTCAGTGATGTTCTCTGCTAGTAGTATGTTGTAATCTGTGTATCTGTAGTAGTAGTAGTAGTAGTAGTAGTTGTTGTTGTTGTTGTTGTTGTGTGCCTTCAAGTCATTTCCGACTTATGGCAACCCTAAGGCAAACCTACCATAGGGTTTTCTTGGCAAGTTTCTTCACAGGAGCTTTGCCATTACCTTCCTGTAAGGCTCAGAAGGTGTGACTTGCCCAAGGTCAACCAGTGGATTTCATGGCCAAGCCAGGATTTGAACCCTGATCTCCAAAGTCATAGTCTAGTGCTCAAACCGCTATGCCATACTGGATGTCCTGTGTGTCATAGATTGTTAAAGTTACTTTCTCCTAGCTTTACTCCTCCTTTTTCTGAATCTAAGTTTGCTCTTTGTGTGATATTTTCCACATACAAGTCGAACAAATACAGTGATAGAATGCAGCCTTGCTGACTCCTTTACCAATTGAGAACCATTCTGTTTCCATTCATTTGAACCCCTTAAAAACAAGCTCATGTATATGACAAGTAGCTGAGGCATAAGCAAGGCCAACTTAAGCCTCAGCAAGAGAATTGAGTGCAGTTATTCAAGAACCAAGCAGGAAAAAAGTTCAGCAACTATCATTTGCATTTGAAATATAAGGAAAATGGGACTAGCTAATATTGTACTATCAGGAACCTAAAATCCCATTAATAATTCTCCAAAACATAGAATATATTGATGGGGAGCAGAGAATGGCAGGGATATTTCAGTGTGATTTAGTTTTTTGATTCTTTGCCATCTGTTCAGAGACAAAGAAGATTTCATAAAAAAGAGGAAATTTCAGAAAGGACCTGGAACTCCCAGGGAGGGAAATTAAATCTGAGCTATCAGTACCTGGGAGGACCTGATCTTGTATCCCCTGGGTGATTCTTGCATGTACCAATTCAATAGAAGTCGGAATTGAGCAGGGGAGTACAGCAGAGGAATCAAGCCTCAGAAGCAGAATAATGCAGATGTTTGGGTCTTATAGATAACTAGTCATATCTGCCTAGGTCTTTTTTTTTTTTCAGAAATGTTTCTAGGCAGGAGTGAATAGAATTTTGAGTTCACCAAACACATATTTATTGCAATCTCATCTCAATAACCTCTGGGCCATGCACAACACCTAGCCAGAAATCTGGGCACATAAGAATGATTTACATTCATTATACTATCATGTAACAAATTTACATGGGTGGATTTTACGTACATGGTGCAATGTAATAGTGGGATGTAATGGGTGGAATTTACATGGTGGGATGTGGTTGCTTAGTGGTTAACAGGCCAATTCTGATTATCGTAAGGTCAGAAGATTGGCAGTTTGAGGCCCGAGTGCTGCATGAACCTAGCAGTTCAAAAGCACGCAAATGCAAGTAGATAAATAGATATCACTTTGATGGGAAGGTAACAACATTTAGTCCACTCATGCTGTTCACATCTTTGGACAACATCTTTGGACAACACTGGCTCCTTGGATTAGTAACCAAGATGAGCACCGCTCCCTACAGTTAGTTACGACTAGACATTTATGTCAAGGGAAAATCTTTACCTTTACCTTTACCTTTACCTTTACCTTTACCTTTACCTTTACCTTTACTGTTAATGAATTTTCTTGTAGCTATATCTTTCCACTGCTTACAGCAGGGATAGGCAACCTTTCCCCTTTAAGGGCCGAGGGACTTCAGCTCCCAGAATCCCAGAATGTGGGACTATTGGTCAACATGGCTGAGGCTTCTGGGAGCTGAAGTCCCTTGGCCCTTAAAGGGGAAAGGTTGCCTACCCCTGGCTTACAGTTTCTATCCTTTGGTAACCATTCCAGACTTTTCCTTCTTTTTCCATTTTTTAAAAGTGAGCATTGTATTTTTAAAAAAAGAAGAGAGGGGGAAGAAGGGTTCAAACTTTTTGTTAATAGGTCCCAGATAGATTTTGCCATTTCATTCACTCTCATCCCCAATTTGCAGTCTCTAGTCTTCTCATGCTTCCTGCCTATCAATGTTTCTCCCCAGCACTGAGTGGCTTCCATTGTGCCACATTCAGCTTTGAGCCAATAGACAATTGGGACTGAAATCCAGGTTATTCTCATGTGCTTTCATTTTTGCCTCTTTCTGTCAATCTTCCATTTATTAAGCCGATGCTTGCCAGAGAATACAATTTCTGGGTGCATATATTGGAAATTGGCATATTAAGGATGTGTCTTGCTTTGTCTAATCCTCCTTGCTGGTCTTTGGCGATTGAAAGGATTCTCTGTTGACACACAGTAGTGTCCTTTTGTCATTAAAATGACTCTTTGCTTGCAGCTTCTTGTTTTCAGCTACTGAATATTGAACTATTAATAAGCCTATGCCCATGAACATACTGAAGAATGATTTCGATTGCATTCTGTTTTAGCAAATGGACTTTGTGTTAATGGGTCCTTTTCATGGCTAGATTGAGTATTTAAGGGTCCCAGTGATTAACAACATAGTGACTTTGCTCCAAGAAGAGAAATACGAAATAAAGAAATCTAATCTTACATGCAAAAGCAGTCTATGATTCTTGTGAATAGGCTAGCATTTTGAAGGGTAAACTAGATGTTATGTGACACAGCTCATGCTCTTACAAAAAGAACAAGACAGATGCAATTTTTAGATAAATATTTAGATAAACAAAAGCTATTTTGAGTTATAGAGTTTGTTAATGAACATGTAACCTTTCAGAATGTACAGAGTATGCTTGCTGCAGCACTGCAAAGTAAGGATAGTAAGAATATTCCATTTATGTTTCTCAGCCGAGAAAGACAACACGTAGCCATGAGGCACATTTCTTTGAATTTAAGGAAGTATTCATCAGTACAGAAATACTTGTGAGTTTTCTGCATAGGAAGGCATTTTCTGCACAGAAGGAAAAAAAAAACACATGGTTTATTCACAGGGAAAGAATAAAGATATATGACTAAGCACCAAAGGGAAAATAAGTGTTTATCTGCACATAAAGTATATTTTTTACACAGAAAACATATTTTTTTGCATAGGAATACTTTCTTTTGCAGAGGAAAACCACATCTTTCTCCTAAAATCCATATTTCCAGCAGAGTAGGATTGCCAACACAGCAATTTTGTTGTTGGAGAGCAGGGGCATGAACAGAAATACATCCAGCTCTTTTCCAGAAGCTGGATGTTCAGCAACATGCATCTGCAAAGGTCTTACAAAACACAACAGCTAGAAGTATGTCTGTTCATCCCCCTCCCCTTGACAACTTGGCTATAGCACTATAGCTCTCACATCTATACATGGTGGTGGAAAATATAATGGCTTGGGCAATTCTAACTTTGGTGCTCAGTCATATATCTTTACTCTTTAGGCTTTTTTCTAGTACTTATGTCATGGCCTTTCCCATTCCTAAGCTTCTTCTGATATCTTGACTGCAGTCTCTATTCTGAACAATGTTACAGGAACTGTTTAAATTATTTAGATTAATTCATTGTCTAGGCTGAATTTATTTAGATCCTCCATGGTCATCATTTTTGTTTACTTTATGTTTAGCATCAAGCCTGACTTTCTTTTTTGGCCTTCCTTAGTAATTGTTCCAAGTCTATGATAGTCTAACCCTGTACTTATTTCTGCTGAATGACTGTGCGTGACCAATGAGTGGGGAAGTTTATAGATAGAATAACCACCCATTGATAATGAAAATGATATGTAGCAGA